TGACAGTCCCTTGAAGACGCTTCTCCAGCGGCCGCAATTTAGGGTGAGCGACCTTGATCTAGAACTGCACTGGCACTTCAGGACCAGGAGTGCGTCTAGCCTCTGCCTCCTTCCTGTAGCGCATAGCCGATGACGTGTCTCCACCTGTCTTCAGCAACAACGCAACCTGCTCGATCTCGTCAATCCCCCTGCAACGTGCCAGTTGATGGCGGCTGGCCATTGCCTGTGGCAGAGGTGGTGGAGGCCTTCAAATTGACAGATTCGTTCCAAAAGCTGGTTCTGTAATCCCAAAGCGCGCGGCTATGCTTGCACCAGGACCACGACCACACGTTCCTCCGACATCCACAGGCCCCACAGACCAAACGATCCTTGCCTTCGTCGTGCGCGCTGCCTCCAACAGAATCGCCGTGTTGGAGGCCCGTGGCAAGAGAAAACACAAGTGAACGCCTGGCACCAGCCGCACGCCTCCCTCGAAAAGTGTAGCCGCCACCACCACCACCAGCAAGAGACACCGCTTGAGGTTGCGCTATGGCTTGGAGTCGGGAAACGAAGAATGATTGGAACGAGCGCTGGCGCCACCTGCGTACTGCGGGCTGAACTGTGCAGGTGCCACCTGCAAACGGTAGGCTGTGGGACGAATTCAAGACAAGCTTGAGCCAAAATGGCAACGGATAAGGAGGCGGAGGAGAAAGCGGAAGAGGCGGGGAAGGAGGAAGGGGAGGAGGCTGAGTCCTCCAAGGTGGCCCTCCGGAACGGCGGCACTCCGTAGCACAGGATAAAGCTGCACGCCCCGATAGCGAAGACGTCGTTGGGCTGGGCCCGCGGTCAGCAGGCCAGGCGCCGCCGGGGCCAAGGCACGAGAGGGGTCTGACGCGCAAATTGGCCAGGCGAAAGACCCGACCATATGCAGCTGCGACTACAGTCGACCCGTGTAGTGAAGACGCAGACAAGGACGCAAAGGCCCTGAAGGCCATGACACGACACTTTTGCGAACGGGGCGCAGCCAGCGAAAACGGCCAAGGATGGGCCGAAGGAGAAACATACAATAGAAGAAACAACAACGCCATAATAAATGTTTGACGCTCCACGCAATGTTTTGGGATCTGCGCTGGGCACCTCTCGGCGGGGCCGTAGGCGCCGCCGGGGGCGTCCAGCGCGGATCCAAGAAATCCGCGCGAAGCGCCACATTTTCATGTTTATGGCGTTTTCTTCTATTCGAAACTTGGGAAATCGGCCACCCTAACTACGCAGGTCGACTGTACCGCAAAACCGGCAATCGACGAAAACGAAACGGTCTCACGCAAGAGGCCATGGCGGCCATAACTACGCCGCGGGTTACACGGGCCGTTCGCGCGACAATGTCGACAAAATCGAACAGGCTTTCCGAGGGAAATACAAGTCAAACATGCTCAAACACATTGCAACAATAATCAAAACATCGTCCCCGATGATTTTGCTATGTTTGCATATTCTTCTTGTAGAAGGGCACGCCCGACTTACAACGAAGAAACATATATCAAGGAGTGCGTGGGGGAAGGACGAAAAGACGCGACTGATGGGGTCGCAGAATGTCGGACGTAGCAAATTACATCTGGACGTAACCCGTTTCGGCTGATCTGCGAAACGCGCGAGGTATGCCGATCTGATGGATAATGTATGCGAACGCAGACATGCAGAGTCGTGTGGTGTCGACCCTGAAGCTGGTTACAGACACCGCGGGGATTGTTCAACCTTGAACGGCCGTCCGCTTCCGAAACGTCCAATCGCTCAACATCGACCGAAATTGGGTCGTGGGCGGCGTTCATCATTGAACGCCCGTGGCGGGGTCGCCGCCGGTAGACACGACGCGAACCTACCGTATGCAGAGTTGTTTCGGAAGTCCGCGCGGATTGCTCGGATCGGCAATTCTGGACTCGACTCTAGGCCGCGAGCCCCCCCTTCCTGGCGTGCGGAGCGCGCCAGGGGCGGTGCCGGAGGCGCCGCCGGGGGAGCCCAGCGCGGATTTAGGAAATCCGCGCGGAGCGCGTACATTTCCCCAATCAGAGCTTGCTTCTGTAGGGGTCCTAGCGGATATACAGCTGAGGTGAGGTGGGCGGCCGATCTCGGTGGCCGGGGCCGGGTGCCCGGGTGCCCAGGGTGCCCGGGTGGCCGATTTCGGTGGCCGGGCCTGGGTGCCCGGGTGCCCGGGGGTGCCCGGGTGCCCGGGGGTGCCCGGGGGTGCCCAATAGCCCAATAGCCCAGTAGCCCTATAGCCCTATAGCCGTATAGCTCTATAGCCCTGTAGCCTTATATCCCTATAGCCCTAATAGCCTTATATCCCTATAGCCCTATAGCCCACATAGCTCTATAGCCCCATAGCTCTATAGCCCCATAGCCCGGTCACAGTCCTATAGCCCTATAGCCCGATAGCCCTGTAGCCCAATAGCCCTATAGCCCTAACAAAAATCTGATTGGGTTTTTTCTCCGGTATCATTTGTGTTTATGGCGTTTTGTCTTGGAACCTGGCGCTGGGGCCCCTCTCCCTGGAGCACGGAGGAGGGGGGCCCAACGCTGATCCGAAAATCCCGCGCGCAGCTCCGAGAAACTACGCTTCTGCAATTGTTTGTAGAGACCGAACTGTTACACCCACGCTTTTTCGGGCCCCGCACTGCAATTTGCACGGGACGGCAAATCCTGGTGTATAAGGGACCCTGGTGAATCAATTTCCGTTGTTTCCCAGGGAACAAGTATGCACCACACCAGCCCGACATCGTCCCCGACCCTCAGAAAGCCCCGGGATTGAAAAACAGCCCGCCATTGAGAATGTGTACATATCCTCAAGTTTCCGATGTTTGTTGTTCCTCGAGGGAGGGGCAGACACAGTCAAGCCTGAGTCGAACCTGAGTCGAACTTAAATCGAACTTGAGTCGAACTGGGGTCGAAGTAGAGTCGAACAGATCCGATAGGTGGGTCCCAGGAAGGTCCCCAAAACGAGCATTAAAGTTTGTTCCTCGAGGGGGGGGGCAAGAACAGTCAAGCCGAGCGGGCCCTTGCCGCGCCGGACCGCCCGTGCAAGAGCGCGGGGGCCTTGAGGCTCAGAGGTCCGAGGCTCCCAGAAGGGGACCTCCTCGCCACGGCTGGACCCCGCCCCTTGCCATCGCTCGGACGTCCCTTCCCCGTGCATTTGCTCGGTTTCGTGCGCGTATGCTTCGAAAGGTGATCCAGGATCCTCCTCGACGGCCCTCGCCGAGAAAAAAAGCGCGCATGTCCGAGCGGTGCCAAGAAAACCACGACTGGAGCCCCCGAAACCCCATGTGCCTGGTGAACCTATGGAGCTGCATCGATCTGTGGGCGTCCAAAAGCCCGAGGCTGGGGCGAAAATGCAGGGTGTGCTTCTTTGTGTTGTTTTGTTTTGCTTGTTTTTGTTATTGTTTGTTTGTGTTGTTGTTTGGTTTTTTTGTTGTGTGTTTGTGTTTTTGTGTGTTATTTTTCAGCCCGCCCGGATCTCAGGGTAGTCCACTTAGCTCCGCGGGACGCGCCTAGAAAATGAGCGACGTGCGGACATCCCGTCGCGGCCTCCCGCCGCCACCCCCGAGAGGGGCGCCTGAGCGGCTGGCTCAGACCGCGAGGCGCGAAGCGTGACAGCCTCTTGGCCCGTGGGCGACCCTGGAAGCCCTCGAAGCAGAAACAACCCAGACCGCCGACGGTCAGCTGTGGAACACGTGCAGCACTCGGATTTGGTGTCTCTTCCATGGGGGCCTGCGTAGCCCCCCAGGCTGTCGGATTTTGGGCCCGCCTTGGACCGGAGCTGGAGCACTTTTGGGACAAGATTGGGACCACATTTGGACTGGAGTCGTCCTACGAACAAAAACGAGGAAGAGGAGGAGGAGGAGGAGTAGGAAGGGCGCGGAGGAGCCTGAGGAAGGGCAAGGTGCGGTCCAAGTGCAGGAACAACTGATCTCTCCCCAAGGCTCCCATGAATAGAAATAAACCCGAAACGCCGACGGTCAGTTGAACAAAATCACACTTGAAATAATTTGTTATACAGTCGGACTTGATTGGACAGAACACGCGAGAGGACAAAAGACCCTTCCCAGGGACACATTGCCACAGGAATGTAGGAAGCATGGGTCGCGAGACACAGGACACGAGGGTACCCTTGATTTGGCAAGGTCGACCTGCTAATCTGGGCCGACTGTAAGGGATCGCGGCCGCTCGGACCAACAAAAATAGCCGTCACCGAGGCGAGAACACAATCTCAGTGTGATTGACGAGGAAATTTCAAGCAAAACGGCTGCGGGACCGGGCGTTCTTGGGCTCCCTGTCCCCCTTGTGGAACTCCTTCTGGCCCTCCTTTACCCCTGCTAGAGAACCCTCCGTGGAAAATCACAGGAGCCTCCCATACCATCTTACCGGCTCTTGCTGCGAATCCACGATGATCGACGCCTGAATCGACGCTGCTTCCGAGCAGGACCCGCTTGCGAAACGCTACTGCGGGAAAGTTGCAACGCCAGGGTCTCAGTTTGGTGTCCGTTCCATGGGAGCCTGCGTGGCCCCCGGCGCTGTCCGATTTGGGCTTGATTTGGACCGGATTTGGAACACATTTGGACCGGATTTGGACCAGACTTGGACTGGATTCGTGAGGGCTAGGAGAACGAGGAGGGGGAGAGGGAACAGGAGGGGAGAGGAGGAGCGGGAGGATGGGCCAAATGCGGTCCCTGCGCGGTCCAAATACAGGAGAAGCTGATTTCAGCCTCGCCGCCCAAGGCTCCCATGAACAGACATTGGGTCTCCTAGGGCTCCCAACTTCGCGCTTCGCGCTCCGCGAAGCGCGAAGCGCGAATAACTTCGCGCCCTCGCGCCGCCCCCCCAAAGGGAGAAAAGGAGGACGAGGAGGAGGGGGAGAAGGAACGAGGACCGCGAAGCGCGAAGCGCGAATAGCTTCGCGCCCTCGTGGGAGCCCTTGAGTCTCAGGGCTCCTCCGCCGAGGGAGCCCCCCGCGTCGGCTTGCCCACCGCGGCGCTGAGCGGCGTAGCCCCACACCGCGGCCCTGCACGGCTCCCCGGGCTGGGCGTCCGCGGGGAGGCGCACCACGGCCATGTGGCTGCTCCAGGCGCCGGCAAGCCTCTCGGGGGGTCGTCGAGGGAGGAGGGAGAAGAGGAGGGATGACGAAGAAGGAGTGAGAGAGTTGCAGGAGATGGAGACAGGGGGTGAGCGTGGAAAAGACACACGGGGATGCGGACACGAACGCACGCAGATGCGGAAACGAACACACACACACACACAAACTCACACACACACACACGCGCGCAAACAAACATAGTACTTCGGTGGCAACTCATGGGGGCCTCCCGTTCCATTTGTCGGCTCTTGCGAATCGACGGTCGTCGACACTAAATCTACATTAATCGACGCTAGATCGACTCTAACCGACGCTAACCGACTCTAAATCGGCGCTACCTCATCGACCCCCAAATAATCGACGCTAATCAACGCTGAAGACGGAATCAAGAGGTTCTACTAAGCTCACGTGATTTGCTGCTGAACGGGGATGCGGACACACACGCACGGAGATGCGGAAACGCACACACACGAAGATAGTACGGAAGCGCACGCACGCACGCACGCACGCACGTACGCACACACAAACTTGTCTGGCGCTGCGACCAGCAGCGCGGCATAGAAAGGCCGCACACATACACACACCCGCGCACACACACACACACTGACACACACTGACACACACACACACACACACACACGCACGCACGCACGCACACGTGTTGTTTGCTTTCTTTTGGGGGGGGTGGCGGTAGCGGCCTCGCGCGCGGCAACGAGGCGGAGCAAACACACACACACACACACACACACACACACACACACACACACACACACACACACACACACACACACACACACACACACGCATACCACACTCGCAACACACCATACACATGCACATACACATACACAACACAACACAGCACACACAGGGATGCTGGAACTGGGCGCCCGAGTTATCCGGGGTAACTCGGGTCCGGGGTAACTCGGGTTCGGAATCCCGAAAAACGAACCCGAGTTAGCCCTGACCCGAGTTACCCCTGATGGTTCGGGGCTCTGGACGCCCAAATTATCCGGGGTCAGTCGGGTCCGGGGTAAGTCGGGTTCGGAATCCCGAAAAATAAACCCGAATTAGCCCTGACCCGAGTTACCCCTGATGATTCGGGGCTCTGATGGAACCACAACCGGAGTGCGGACAACACGCACACAGGAAGGAGAAGGTGGGGGGGGAGAGGGAGCAGGAGCGAGCCTCTCCATGCGGACCTCGCCTGGCCCGGCGCCCAGCGGGCACACGAGGTGCACGTCCTCCACCTCTGGCACGTAGCACTCCGGCGCCCTCCGAGGGAGGGAGGGCTCTCTCGGGGTTCGCTTCTAATGGGGGGAAAACAAGCCGACCTCGCTTTTGACCACCCTCGCTTCCAAGAGATACCAAACGATGCCAAATTGCAGCCTGTGAGCAGGCCGCTTGACGAGGAGGCGCGTGGTATGGCTTGGTTTTGCCTGGAAGCGAAAGCGGGGTAGGTAATTCACGCTCTGATCTAAGCCTCATTCGGTGTCTGAGCCCATTCGGCAGCCGGGTGGACCAAATCGCGCCCACTCGGCTGCCGAGCGGTCGACGAGAAGACGACGCTCAGAAGAAAGTAGCTTGGACGGCAGAACCTAGACATGTGATCTCTGTGAACTGGCGGATCTGAAGGATACGTCGGGCACCGCGACCGTTCCAGTTTGCTCTGGAAAGCTCTGGGAGCGTTTCGAACTGTGGAGCGATGTATAGTCTTCCTGTAGGCCTGCCTGACTCGCGGATCGATGACGCACTGTTCCTGGAGGCGCACTGGATCTTTCACGATTGAACTAGCATCAGTTTGACATCTCTGGGTTGAACTCGACCGATCTAGGACTGCATCGAGCAGCACGGCTCACATCCCCCCGCAGGTCGAGGGGAGAAGAGTCGCCAAGCCCTTGGGCAGAGGGAGGAGGACATGTTTTTGGTGAAGCCTTTGGCTGTACTGGGAGCCTTCAGGTAAGGCCTCACAATCAATGGCAGGCTGGACAGCTTCCAAGCGTACAACTCCAGGATATCGAACGCCACAATTCTCTCAAAGCGCGGGCAGACCGTTTGAGTGAGACGTTGCGCAAATGGCATGTGCACGCCCGTAAGAGATTACGCTCTATGCCAGACAGTAGCTATCTCAGATCTTTGGTCTGTAAATTTCTGCGAACCAGGAACGAATGTAACAAAGAACTCGCATTTAGTCCTGAGACGCGGCCGCCCCAAGCTGCAATGGGCCCAGTACGTGTATGGGTTATTGCAACGGATTGTAGCAGCAGCTGGCGATCTCGGTCCCACCCATCGGCCGCCTCCCCCTCTTCATTTCTCCCTGGCGTCCTAGATTTGTGTGGTATTCATTAATTTCCTGCTTCGGTCGTGAGGCGCTCTGCTTTTTCTGATTCACAGTCGGGCTGTCTTCATGTGACGCAGTCCTGATACGTTCTTGCTGCTGCTTCGCAATTGAATCATTCCGCCGTCTCTATTGTGAAAATTTCCCCCCCGAAAGGTGCCAATTGCGCACTCTTCTGCCCACGCGTCCTGCCGGGAACCTGGCTCAGTGGCGGCAATGGTACCCAAGGGCCGTGCCAAGGGCTGGCGCGTGGTTCTGCACGGTGCACAGGTAGGAGGGAGGCGTCGGAGAACGTCAATCATTGAGACGGGGCTAAGACGAGGATAAATCCGTTCTGGAGCGTTCCTGATCGCTCTTGGAGCGCTCTGGATCGCTCTCAGGGCTTTCCGGAACGCTCTGAGAAAGCCGCGGCCCTCGAGGCATCCTCCGGAGCCGCTGGATCTCAGAGATCCCCGATCTTATCCTCACCCGACTTTATCCTCGTCCTGGCTCCGTCTTAACTCGCCATCGCTCGGACGTCCATTCCCTGTGCTTTGCTCGGTTTCGTGCGTGGCTTCTTCGCCAAATGATCAAGGATACTCCTCGGTGGTCCTCGCCGGAGGAAACATGCACACGTCCGAGCGATGCCAAGGCCCTGGCTTGGCTGTTCCTGGCCCGGGATCGGTGCAGGCGCATCCCAATAGCCAAACCAGAACGGCGCACACGCTGGCCCTGGGACCAACGCGGGTCTGACCACGAACGGTGAGGTGGGCCACTGACGTCAACCGAGAGGGGGGGAGAAGGGCCGAGAACCGAGGATCCCCGAGATACTCGCGTTGCAACTTTTTTGCAGCATACATGTTGGCCCCGTTCCGGGCCCAGGAACCTCACGGATCGATTCCAGCTTCGAAAAAAACGCAGGAAGATGGCGGGGTCCAGGGCTCTAGTGGTGGTTTGTTTCCCATGTCGCAACTTTCTTGCAACGTCGGATCTCGAGGGTCGATGATCATCTGATTGGTGACGTATTCGTCTGCTTCCAGGCTTTCATCTAGGAGTACACCACAACCACCACCACCACCTCGAGGGGCCGCGGAGGGTTCTCGTGTGGTGTCCCCCCCACGTTTCGCAGCATGCCGCCCGATACAGCTCAATTATATCTCCAGCTCGGGAAGGCACCGTGATCTCCTCGCTGGAGGTGGTCCGCTCGTGGCGTCGGCTGTCCTCGTCTCACTCCGTGGAGGGGAGAATGGGGGGAGAATGATCCTGAATCGAACGCATATGTATTAGATTTTGTCGTCGATTATTTGACCTGAGGGGGGCTCCAAACGCCTCTGGGAACTCCGGAGACCTCCGTGGGAAAATTCGGAGACTCAGACTTTCAGACGGAGGAGGGAGGGGGTGGAGGAGGGGTTGGGCCGAGCAAAGGGCAAGAGATATTCGAGGAGAACTTCGGATGTTTTGGGATGTTTTCTGGAGGATTCCAATCATTGTCTGAGCACTCTGTAGGCGCCCTGACGGGAGGAAAAGAAGAGGGATTTGATTTCAATCCGTTTGGGCTCGAGTAAGGAACGCGCCTTTGCTCTGGCTGTTGGGCTGCCCTGGAGCAAACAAGAAGACAGAGAGGGCTGGCAGAGGGCAAAGCAAGCTGGGCGCAATCGAGGCGGGGGAGGAGCGGAAGAAGCCTGTATTGGTCCTTGCCCACCAGGCGGAAGTAGCGCAGCTCTTCGCCGGAAGCGGAGTGGCTCAGCACTGACATCCCGAAGTCCATCACCTGCAACGTTTTGTCCTTTGTCAACAGCATGTTCTCGAGGGATAGGTCCCGGTGACCTAGCGCGATCGCCGCTGCAGGTGCTCCTTATCGTCGTCGTTGTCGTCGACCGCCGCCGCTGCCGTCGACGTTGTGGCTGTCGTCGACGACCCTCGTCGTCGTCGCCGCCGCCATCGTCGATGCTCGATCGGCCTGGCCTGGTGCTGATTCGGGCCAACACTCGGAGACGGGTACAATATGGTGGGGCGAAGAAGGCGGCCCTCCAACGGTGGCTGCCAGTCCCGACTTCAAAAAATCGTGGACCGACTGACCAAGGCCAATTCAAACCCGGGTCAATCGGGCTTTGCAAGACCCTGCAAGATCCTACGAGATCCTGCCCCCCAAACCGGGTCTTGCGCCCTGGCTAACCCCCGTTTGCATTAATTCTGGCGTGCCCCCCTACAGGAAGATGTTGGACGAAAAATAAACAATACAACCAAAAAACAATAATGCCCCGAAATACTACAAAAATAGTCAACATACCATTTTTGATTATTTTTGAATATTCCCTCTGTAGAGGGACAGGCCCAACTGAACGTTTGCATTGACCTCCGCCTCAAGGCTCCCGAGTATGCCAAGGATTAGGACGGGCCTGTCTCCCTACAGAGGGATTCTGGACGAAGACAAGAGAAACATACATTCAAAAATGGTCAAACAATCGTCCCCAACTATTTCCTGCCTTTGTGGACCTCCTCCACGCCTTCTTCGGGTGCCGCCCCCCTCGCGCCACCCCCCCGCGCGGCGCCGGAACAGCGTGTCCGCGGTGGCTTGCCCGCGTCGAGCAAGAATTTATTCTCCCCGCAAGACGCTCTCCCGTCGGAATCCAGCGGTTCTACCTGCGAGGCGTTCTGCCCAGCCCCGACCCAACCTCGAGCAAGACGGAGACTACATTATTGATTTTGAATTACCCCAGATTCTGAGTGCTTGCCGGATCGACCAGCAAAAGACGCAGAATGTTAGTAGGTCTACAACAGTTCTGAATCAATTCTCGCAGATTCGACGTGCATCAATTCTGCAATCGATCTCCTGCTCGACCAACCCTGCCGTCGACCCCCCTCCCGACTCTCCCCTGCCCCATCCCCCTCCTGCACCCCTCCTCAGATCTCTGGAAGAGTGCCGGGCCGAACAAACGCAAGCCAGTGAGGTTCGACCTGCTGTCCACAATTGCCTCGGCAGCCCCCCTGCATGCCAGCAGACCTGCCCCACCATAGAGCAAAAATATGCCCTGTCTTCCTTTCTCCTCATGCTACTCCTCGGCCTTCTCCCTAGTCCTTTACCCTCTGCTGGGGAAATGGAACGGGTAAGCCCCAACGACCGATGTGATGCTTGTGCAAGTACGCGACCGCGTCGAGCATCTCCCTCGTGTACCGCCGCGCCTGCGTGGCGGATCCCACACACAACTTGCTCAGTGGAAGCGATCAAATCGACACCCGAACGTCCAAGGTCGTGAAAAAAAACGAATACGTCGTGCAAACAACACATCAGGAGCCCTCGACCCCATTTTCACGCAATCGTTTGCTCGGCGGGGCCGATCTGTGAGGGTCGTTTTCCAGAGCACTGGCAACGACGCACCAGAAACGCACCAGAACCTGATGCATGCTGCACAAGGCTCCCAAGGAAAGAAGATAACCACTCTTCCAGATAGAACCTCCACTCCCGGAAGATACTTGAACCGCCGCGTTAATTGCTAAGGGGATGGTAGGGTTAGAAGTAGATGCTACAGTTGTTTGTATCCAACCTATAAGTGGGTTAGAACTGCCCCATGTGGCTTGGGGCGGTGAGGTAACTCTGCTAAGTGGGCTCCGCCCACTTCGCCCAGATCTGTGCGCCCTTGAGCCACTCAGGGCACCCGCAACCCACTTCTGAGCTGGGTTCGGCCGAGGGAAAGGCCACTTTGGCATCCACTCCTAACCCCCCGTCCCCTGAGCAGCCACCTCGGCGGTCCAAGTTACATCACATAGGAAGGCACCAACTGCACACCAGCACCGATCCTGACCAGGATCACCCTGGGCCCAGGGTCGGTGTATACGCCCTCCTGCCTTGGGTGAGAAGGCAAATATGCGAGGCGGGAATTTATCCATATCCACCGCCTGGGAACCGACGCCCTGGTGCCCCAGCGAGCGGTGGATACGGATACACTTTGGCCCCTGGGGGCCCGAAAATGCCCATATCCGCCGCCTGCCGAGGCTCCGAACACTGACCCTCCAGGCGGTGGAGAAGGATACATTCCCGCCTCGGCATATGCACCGATCCTGGGCCCAGGGCGATCCTGGCCCCAGGATCGGTGCTGGTGTATTAGCTGGTGCCCTCCGACCACAGTCGGCAGTGGACAAACCTCCCTTTAGTAAACCTCCCCTTAATGAAAGCGGCCTAAGACCAAAACCGACGGACCTGGACCCGCAAAAATGACGGCCGCGACGCCCCCTCGCGAACCGACAACGGCCAATTCCTTCATCGACGTGTCAGGGTAGGAAGTCTGTCCGCCCTCGACACAGCCGCCACACTTCTTTTGATCCGCGGGTCGAGGGCGAGCCTCCTCCCGTCGAAGCTAAGCGGGCCGCGCACAGCTTTAGTTGACAGAGGGGGAAGGCAGAAGTGAAGGGGCCCCAGGACACACAAATAAATACACACAAATAAAAAGATTCACCATATTTTCCCATATTTTCTAGGTTTTTGTCTTCCCGCCCAATTCCCATATTTTCCCATATTTTCCTGGGAGTCGACGATTAAATGTGTCTGTGTGTTTTTTTTCCCTCCTGAAGAAGGAGGGGCCTCACGTCAAGGCCAAGAGAGGGGCACAGCCGCCACACGCCACCGCGAGGCCTCCGCGGGCCCACCTCGGGCCGGGCCCCGGCGCGGCGCCCTCCCCTCGGGCAAGAAGCCCGGGAGGGCCCGCGGAGGCGATGGCGGTGCTGCCCCGTTCTCTCGGGCCGGGCGAGGGAGGGGGGGACAGCCAAGGGGGGGTCTGCAGAGCAGCTCACGTATAGCATGGTCTTCCCGTCGCCTCCCGGCGCCGGGAGGCGGCCACTCGTCGAGGAACGGGGCCCCTCGGTGGGGCCGAAACCAGCCGCACGCAGCAGATTTCGTAACCCCCCCCCCTCTTCCAATCCCCCCCTCTCGTCCGGCCCGATGCTCGTGCTGCATCTTCGGGAGGACCTTCCCCGAGGACCGTTTGGGAGGGGGCCCGAGTCAGGAGGGCCAAGGACATTAGGGATACACCCTGCGAAATGCTTAAGAAATCATGGGTTAAGAAATTCATCGTCTCAGAATTTGATATAAAGACAGGAATTCTATTCAAATTTTAGGATTTACATTGAAACATTAAGAATAATCGAGACTCTGGCCGAAAACGTAAGTTTTGTTAAGCATCGCCTAGGCTGTAGGGATCTTTTCAGCAGGTGTATAAAACCAAACCGCCCAGACGGATTATCCCCAATGCGAAGACGGGGACCTCATTGAGGCCACGTCTTCACTGTGTTCATGAGGGTTAGGGGTTCTTTTGTTCTCGATGATTTCCTGCCCAATCGCGCAGCTATCACCGGGGAGTCCGTGTCGAATCTGCTCCGTGCGCCGAATTCCTTTCGAATCCGCATCAGGCCCTCGTCGGGTAAAATCCGCCGAAACTTCGGTGCGTGTGAAACGCTGTTGTCGTCGTCGTCGTCTTGGTCGTCGTCGCCAATCCCCAGGCAGTTTAGAAACGAACAAAGGAAAGAAACGTCGTAGCTACTCGACTCCCTTCCCTTTTCCCCTCTCTGACGGGAGGAGGCGGGGTACGGAAAGGGGGGGTCCCGGGTCAATTGACCGCCGCCCCCTGGAATCCCGGCGGCTCCCCCTTCCCTCCCAGGTCCCCCCCGTTTACCAGCCTGGAACATATCCCTATCCCTAAGCTGGGCATCGCCTCATCGCGATGCCAATCTTAGGGATTCCCTTAGTTTTTCAGGGCGCGTCCCTAAGATTGTCATCGCCTTTTGGCGTGTCAATCTTAGGGATCGGGATCAATTCGAGGCTGGTCCCCCCTGTGGTTGGGAGGACAGGGGTGGGGGGTCCCCCTGCGGGGTGTGGTTCCTGAAGGAGGGTTCCGCAAAGAGTCCCGCCTGTGGTGGGGGAGGGTGGTCCAGGGTCACCCGGGGGTCCAGGCGGGTCCCGGGGAGGGGCGCCCGCGGGGGCCCCGTGGGAGGTCCTGCCTTCAAGGTCGGCGACACAGGCTGCAGGGCCTTCACAATAAGAGGACGGCTACCTACACGTGAAGAAAGGGCAATCCGAACATGTAGCGCAACACCCTCTCACAATATCTCCCGAACACAACAACTGTCGTGACGCCCAGATGGAGTGCACGTGAGACCATACAGGACGCCCCATTTCTGTTGGCCACGGCGAGCCTCGGCCACGAATGGCTCCCCGACCCCGATCCAAGGACCAAGGAGCGGCCCCCAAATCACTCTGAAATCCTCAATAAATTTGGGTCCCCGCTCTATACTGGTACTGACTGGGCCCTCCTGAACCCAAAGGCGGTCCTTACTTGAACGTCTTGACTGTACGCTGCCTACCCCGTATCTCGTGGAGGGAATTACAACGAGAAACATGACCAAGCCTCAACGCGGAAATGCCTTTATCGATCTTGGTCATCGTACATCTTGGTCATCGTCAACTCGTGGATCATCCTCCCGAATCAGCGACGGCCAGCGCGGGCACTGCCCAAGATCAACGTCGACAAGATCCCGCGACATTTGGTCATGGTCATCGCGCTTGTTCCCTCGATCTGTGTTATTGCCAGCCTGCACTTCTCCGCTGGCTGCGCCAGAGACGACGTGGCCGAACAACTCGCCAGCCTCGGCGAGCTCCGTGACCACCCACACGAAAGCGCGGTCTCGGGCGGGGCGATGGACCGATGCGATTTCAATGTTGGTCCCCGCATCAGATCATCCTAGGACGCTCTAACGTAGGACGCGTTTCGGCCAAAGGGGTGAAAAAGAGGATGGGAGCGAAAAGGAGGACGACGACTAATACCAACAGAAACCGCTGGGCCTTGGCGAAATATTCAACGATGCTACCGGGGAAACAAATATTGATACTCCCTCCTTACAACGCCAACGTACGCATACATTGGCAAACATAGCGGGTGGCACACACACAAACATACACAAACATCCAGGCGTCGCACCATCAACATCAGCATCAGCATCATCATCATCATCATCATCAGCATCATCATCATCATCCTCATCCTCATCCTCATCCTCATCCTCATCCTCATCCTCATCCTCATCCTCATCCTCCTCCTCCTCCTCCTCCTCCTCCTCCTCCTCCTCGTCATCATCATCATCATCATCATCATCATCATCATCATCATCATCATCATCATCATCATCATCATCATCATCATCATCAGCATCATCATCATCATCATAATCATCATCATCATCATCATCATCATAATAACATCATCATCATAATCATAATCATCATCATCATCATCATCATCATCATCATCATCATCATCATCATCATCACCATCATCATCATCATCAGCAGCAGCATCATCATCAGCATCATCATCATCGTCGGCGAAGCCTGGTTAAGTGCAACACAAACGAGCAAGCCGTGCGGCACGTGCTGATCCGCCCAAAACACCTGTTCACGTTCGGGAGCGTGCTCAAACGATCCGTGGCTGTGTGACTGAAGAAATCCAATGGCTCTAGCCACAGGCGCTGAAAGCGCGCGGGTTGTCGTCGCCACACACGCATCGACATTTGGCGGCCCGGGTTTCGTGGGTGTACGCGTGGCTTTCCTGAAACACGTGTTATTGGATTTGGGCGTGGGAATATATATATATATACACATAGATATAGATTTGTATATATCTATATATATGTATTATATGTGTGTGTTCTTGTGGGTGTACAGGTGTGCATACATACATACATACTATACATCTATACCTATGTATCTATTTATGTGCACATCAGAGTGAGGGGGCTGAACCGAACGGTCATTCACTGTCCCTGGGTGCGTGGCTGAAATGGAATTCCGCGATGCGGATTCTCGTTGTTGTGGTTGTTGTTGGTTGCTTGTTGTTGTCGTCGTCCCACCCGCGACCCGCCCCGAAACCCACCCGCGACCCACCCGCGACCCACCCCGCGACCCACCCGCGACCCGCCCGAGACCCACCCGCGACCCACCCCGCGACCCACCCCGCGACCCACCCCGCGACCCACCCGCGACCCACCCGCGACCCACCCGCGACCCACCCCGCGACCCGCCCGCGACCCACCCCGCGACCACCCCGTCGCTCGTCCGCGAGACCCACCCCGCGACCCACCCCGCGACCCGGCGGCGACCCAGCGGTGACCCACCCGCGACCCACCGCGACCCACCCGCGACCCACCCGCGACCCACCCCGCGACTTACGCAAAATTTGCGGCGCCTGCGGCGGGCTTGTTTTGCATTCGTTCCAGGTGGAGAACCTGCGACCCACCCGCGACCCAAACAGCGTTCAGTGTACAAATCAAAATGTTCGGCGCCTGCGGCGGGCTGTTTTTGAATTCCCTCCAGGTGGAGGTGGAGAGCCCGCGACCCACCCGCGAACCACCGTCGACCCACCCACGACCCACCTGCGACCCAACCCGCGACCCACCACCGACATCGTTTGAACAAAAAATCGGCGCCTGCGGGGGGCTCGTTGTATAGCTTGAAAATGTTGCGCCTGTGGCGGGCTTCTTCAGAGCCTCGCAGACTGCAGACGTCCCCGCCGCCCCCTCACTCTTATCCGCACTGGGGGTTCGATGTCGGCTTCGTGTTTGTGTGGTGCGCGCGGGTGAGGTGAAATGGCGTGCGCGGGCGAGGAGAATGGATCCCGCGTTGCTAGAGTGCAGCCACCCGGATTGCGGATTTGGGCACGCGGTTGTCCCGATGGTTGTCCCGATGGTCTGTCCCGACGGTTGTCCCGAAGATTGCCCCGAAGGTTGTCGTTGTCCCGATAATTGTCCCGATGGTTATCCCGACGGTTGACTCGATGGTTGTCTCGATGGTTGTGCCGATGGCTGTCCCGATGTTTGTCCCGATGGTTGTCCGCATGGTTGTCCCGATAATTGTCCCGATGGTTGACCCCATGTCTGTCCCGATGGTTATCCTGATGGTTGTCCCGACGGTTGTCCCGCTGGCAATCCCGTTGTCGTTTTCCCGGTCAATATCCCAATTGTTGCCCCGAGTGTTGTCCCGATGGTTGTCCCGGGGGGGCTTTCCCGATGGTTGTCCCGATCGTTGGCCCCCATGGTTGTCCCCATGGTTGTCCAGATGTATGTCCCGAAGGTTTGCCGAAGGCTGTCCCTCTGGTTGTCCCGCTGGCCGTCCCGAAGACTGCCCCGATGGAATTCTGCAAAACGAATGCGCTCGGCGCGTTCAACGCCTCGCGATGTAGGCCAACATGCATAATGTATGCGCTGGTCGCCCCGATGGATGAATCGTTAGATCGACAGATATATGGTCCAGGGCTTGGGCCCCCCCCCCCCCAATGCTGATGCAATTGGGCCCCTCCCCCCCCCCGCGCGATGGTCCCCCCCGCCCCCCCCTGTGGGCGTAGCGTGGTCCTGCGCTGGGGTGCCCCCCTCCCCCCCCCTGTGGATGTGGTGTGGTGCTGTGGTGGTTCAGAGGTGGGCGTGGCGTGGTGCTGCGCTGCGGTGCCACCCTCCCCCCCCCTGTGGATGTGGTGCGGTGCTGTGGTGGTTCAGAGGTCGTCGTCGTCGTCGTCGTCCTCGTCGTCCTCGTCGTCCTCGTCGTCGTCGTCGTCGTCATCGTCGTCGTCATCGTCGTCGTCGCCGTCGTCATCGTCGTCATCGTCGTCGTCGCCGCCGCCGCCGGCGTCGTCGCCGCCGCAGCCGTCGTCGTCGTCGTCGTCGTCGTCGTCGTCGTCGTCGTCGTCGTCCTCGTCGTCGTCGCAGTCGTCGTAGTCGTAGTCGTCGCCGCCGCCGTCGTCGTCGTCGTCGTCGTCGTCGTCGTCGTCGTCTCTGGGACCATACCATCTGGGGGGGGGGCCGTGGTCCCGGAGCCCGGGACCATAGATAGTGCGGTCGTCAGGTGGGCAGTGAGGTCGACAACGTGATCGACTATGAGGTTGATACTGGGACATGTAGACAGCAACATCGATATATTACGTAGGTCGAGAAGAAAGGACTTATATCGGCATATAAATGGTGATGCCAATCTATCCTGTCACCACCAACTAAAGATTGAGGTCGCTATGGGGGCAGCTCGGAAACCAACAACATCAACTCTAGAATCTGTGACTACATAATTAAACGCAGGCTCTCGGAAATCTTCGCGGATCTCCCGGATCTGCTTGAAACCCCCTTCCTGGCGCGCGGATCGCGCCAGGGGCTCCGGAGCAGATCCGAGCAACCCGTGCAGACCTCAGAGTTGTTTGCTGTTTGCGATTCTTTGGGAGCCGAGCGTGGATGTATACATATACATATACATATATACCTATATATATATATATACACACGTATATGTGCACGTAAGTGTTTGGATACATATTTATACACTTATATACCTATATATGTATATATGTACAAATTCACCACGGTAGGCGGGCCCTGGCCCGAAACCTACTGTGTGCATGTGTTGTGGAACACTACGCGCTCGAGAAACGGCCCCGACCAGTATCCGCGCTGCTGCGCGCGGAATCAGCTGTGACCAAACTATCATGGTCGCTCACCTGGCCCAAACCATACCGGACCGATCGCTGACGCCCCCAAAACACGAGAACGAACTCCGGACGCCCAAAACAACACACAAATCGCGAACGAACAAGCACTGCCATGCGACAGACGAGTCGAGTCTAGAGGGAAACGTGTCCTGGGCCCTGGGGCCTTCCCCTGGGATGATGTCGTCCCGAATCGACGTCTGACGATCCGGGCCCAAAGGACGGCGAGAGTTCCGAAAACGGGAAACAACTCAGCACCTGCCTCAAGACCAATTTGCTTCATGGCGAACGCGAGGATGGGCAGCAGCCGCGTCCGATCCGAACTGCGACGCCGACAGCGGCGCGAGGAGGGGGAAGAGGAGGGAGGTGCGGCGGTGGGCCCTGGCCTGTCCATAGGAACCTCAGATGGGCTCAGCGCCGCTCTCGAACACGACGTGCCGAAGGGCGTGTGCCTCCGGCAACGTACTCGGGCGATGTAGCAGCATGCGGCGGGTGGCCACATGTGCAACGGGAGTGAGTGCGGCGGCTTCGGAGCATTGAGGAGGCCGCCCACGAGCTCGCACTCTCTGAGGAGCCAACCGAAGCAAACACACATACACTGCGATGGTGAAGGCGAACTGGCAGCGGGGACCACAGCGAAAAAACAGAAGAGGAAGGGATGTCAAAACGGGGGAGGATGACGGCAGCATGCTGGTGCAAACGCAGGCAATACATACATGGTGGGCGAGAGCGGCAATGGCCCCCCTCGCACCCGAACACACAACCTTGGAAGCGTTTCGTTCGATGTCGCGTGATCCACGCTCCCGTCCAAGCGCGAATTCACACAGCAGCCCAACTGGGCGGGACTCTGGCGAACGCTCCCTGGACTTCAACCCACAGAGCGAGCCCGACCTCTAACGACGGAACGCACCACGAATGCGCCCCCCAAGCAAGGAGACCAGCGAAGGAGCATGACATGCCCTCGGATGGCAGCTGGGAGCTGCCTGTGCCACTTTGGCTTCTTGCCCTGGAACTGTTCAAATAACGCCTCCACCGCCGCCCTCGCGCTCGCCTTTAATTCATAGGGGGCCCTGGAGGGAAACGGAAACCGCGGCGGCATCACGCAATTTGAAAAACTCGGCTTGGATCGAATAGAAATAACGCGCGCGAGGGCCAACAAAGCTCCCTAAAATGAACCTGTCGCTGTGCCGGAACGCTGAAATGCATATCTGACATATCTGGGTAAGCAGCGCGCGGTCGACGTGCGCTAGAGCTGGGCAGCATACGTCATCACTGGCCAAGCCTCCGAGAAACGCAACGAAACACCAGTGCTCAGATCCGGACGGCAAGTGGCAATGCTACGAGTCCTCTGAGCAAACTTGGCCAGCGGGTCGCGCCATTTCTCGCTGTCGCCAGCACCTGTGCCAGGCCGACATCTAGGATGAAGGGCGACCGAGGCAGCCGCAAAGGCCGCTCCAGACGGATCGGCGCAAACAAGATGAGATCGGACGCGCGACTCGGGCGGAACGACCAGCTCAGCTGCCAGAAGATGGCTGTGTTAAGAAACGACCCTGCGAGTGCCTTAGAATTGCGGGGGGCCCGAGCAAACTCGCGGACGCCCTGGGGGGCCAACGGAAGCAATATCGCCCGCTCAGGCCCTGATCTGAGCGCGCACTGGCGCGAAGATCGGCTCAATCAAGTTCCAGGGAACACGTTGGTCGCCAGCGCGAGCAAGCTCCCGCTGAGCGGGCGCCCCAATAAGGCCCCAGAGTTAACGCAAAACGGATGGGCCTGAGGCCCCAAGAGGCCGCCATGAGGCCCAGCCCCCAAGAGGCTCCAAGAGGCTCCCAGGATGGTTCCAAGAGGCCTCCAAGAGGCTCCAAGAGGCCGCCATGAAGCTCCAAGAGACCCCCAAGAGGCCCCGAGAGGCCTCCAACAGGCCCCCAAGAGCCCCCCAAGAGGATCCCAAGCGGCCTCAAGAGGCCCCCCCGAAGCACCCAAGACGCCCAAGAGCCCCCATTGACCGCCAAGAGACCCCGAAGACGTCCGAAGAGGCTTCCAAAAGGCTTCCAAGAGCCATCCGAGCGGCATTCAACCATCCACCCAGCGTCATCATTCTCCTCATCCGTCCTTCGCTCGGTTCCTCGCCACCCCCTCATCTATCCATCTGGCCTCCTCTTCCGCCTCATCCTCTGCACGGATCGGCTGTCCCTCTCGTTGTTCCCCCGCTTCCCTGATCTCGTCAACTTGCCTGGACATCGTTTCTGGCTGGGCTGGTGGGGACACGCCAAGCGTCAATAATGGCAGGAGAACCCGAGGACCAATGCCTGAAAGCCAAGCGTTGCGCCCGAGGTCGTCAGAGCAGAGCTCCGCGACCGTGGCGCGAAGCGCAACGTTGCGAAGCTTGGGCGGCGCGCGCGCGCGCGCGCGAGTCCGGGGCGGGGCGGGGCCCGGGGGCGGCGGGGGTCGAGGGAATCGGTGGGCCCGGAGGAGAAGCGCCCGCGATGTCGCGAGCCCTCGAGAGGGGGGGCACGATGGCCCAGTTCAGAATCGCCCCCCCAGTCAGCTCGAGGCGCCGCTGTCTGAGCCACGGCCAAAACGGCGCCCGCCCCCCCGTCCGCGCCGAGCGCCCCCGCCAGACGCCTCCTCCGATCGACGTGCGACCAGAGCCCAGACCGCCTTGCGCGGGCGCGGGGCTGGCCTCGAGAACGCGCGCGGGACGAGACCGGCCGCGCGCCCGCAGCCTGTCTGGATTGGGGGTCGAAGGCAGCTCGGCGCTCCTAATTGAGAGGTCAGCACGGGCGCCCCAAGCCCAAGGGGGCCTCGGAAAAGACAGAAGGGCCCGCTAGACAAACGGGCCCCCTGCCCGAAAGAGGCCGCGCATCCTAGTCTCCCCCCGCAGAGCGCGAGCGAGGCGAGCGCCTTGACGCCGCGCCGCCCGCGCCAAAGAGCGCGGGGGCTGGGCGCGTGACTCGCGGCGCCTCGCGCGCCGAGCCAGCCGGCGGTCTCGCCCGCCGGGAGTCGCCCGACGTGCCGCGGGACCGTTATCGCAAAGGGTGGTCGGAGATCTCGGTCCGGAACAACTCCCCCCGGCCCCCCGCGGCGCTTGGCGCGCCGCCGCATCTGGCGCGACATCCGAGGCGGCGTCGCCGCGAAGCATTGATCAATATGAAGCCGAAGTCGCCCCGAACAGACAACGGTTAACCCCCGCGAAGGCGAGATCTGTCAGCTGCCTGAAGATGGCGCCCCATGGTCGGGCGCCGGCTCGGCGTCGCCGCGCGCGCGAAGATATCGCGGGGGGCGCTGGATGAAGCGGCGCGCGCGGGGAGACTTGGGGCGGCCCGGCGCGCACCCAAACAAGCAATGGCGGAGCCGACCGGGTTAATCATGACATTGGAAGCACATGCGAAAATCGAACTTGCCGCGAGCGGGGCGTTTCTCGCAATGGCGCGTTGCGCGGGCATGTCAGAGCGGGCCCCGAGGATCTCGCGCGCGAACAAAATTATGGGCGTTCCACTGAAACCGCCGATGCTGAAACGGACGTAATAGCACCCCCACCGCCCGCGCCTCTCCGGGGGAGCGCAGACCCTCGAGGTGACGCGGAGGGCCTGGGGGGGGCAGCGCGAAGAACGAGGGCTCGTGCCCCGCAAACGCATTGCCACCCCAGCAGGAGGCAACTCACAACTTCGAATTCGCAGCCAAACCGCCCCAAATGTTCCGAGACAGCGTCGCCGAGTCCATGGGCCTCCCGTGAATAACATATCGTAGAGGCATCGAGCAAATGCCCGGGGGCCCCCGCTTCCATGGCCAACGACTTCGACTGGTAATGGAAAGGCCCCGAACGTTCCACCATCCGAAAAAGATCCGCTCGAAACCCCAACGTGCTGCTGCCCATTGCACTGGCTCTGCCGAGGCCGGAAGAGGCGCTGCGCGACCCCGTCAAGACTGGCCCTCACCAGGTTCAGGTCGGCGAGCAGGCCGACGACCACTAGGCCTTCCGGGGAGGCAGCTGGGTCAACCAATTGCCTTGCCGGACAACTCCACTCCCACTACCATCGTGCCTGCATCGCGGCCATGAAGATCAACCAGTTTAGAGACTCTGAGGTCGCGCGCCTGAGTTGGTGCGCGTGGCTGCGCGATGCAAAACGACCCCGCAGCGACTGCGATCGAGCCCAACGCGGGGCTGGGCCCTCCTCTGACCTGGCATCGCCGCAGCGAGCTGCTTCCAACCACCATTAAGCCTGCGCAAACAACCACGAGCTTGCCAAGCCCTCGCCACCGCCGTCGCGGCGAGGCCCGCGCACCTGACGACGAAACGCTGGCCGAGGGGGTCGCCTTCTACCTTGAAGTCCTCGCCCCGCGTGTCAATGGCCCCAGAGCAGATTCGACAGCACCTCGTCCGATATCCTCCCTAGCATGGGCCGTGAAGACGCCTTGGTCGGGGGCGGAACGTCAGCAGCCCGCGCAAAGAAAACTCGCGGAACCGACTTGGCACGACCGAGCTCCTTCTCCAAGCGCTCGACGCGGGCCTCCAGCATCCCGCGAGCCCCAGTGCGAGCCGCGCAGGAGCACCGACATCACGAAGCTGGCATTCAATCGCCTGGAATCTCCTCTGAGAATAAGTTCGCCGACTTTGTCAAGCATGGGGTGAACGACCGAAGGGACGTGCTGAGTGGCCAAGGGCTGGACCGTAGACGCTTTGGTTTCGTGGAACTTAGCGATGCGCGCGCGATGGAAAAAAACTTAGAACTCCGCATTGATGAGGCCTTCCGCCCGAGCCGCTGACCAGGAACATGCCGGGGGGTAGCACTCTCAGCAGACTGTCCACCGGCAGGGCCACCAAAAACATCGACGACGTTATCATCTGCACTTCCTGAGTCACGCTAGCGTCCAGCATTGTGATGAGGGAGAGCGCCACGTGAACCATCGCGAATGGCCGCAAGAAAAGGCTATGTGGCCGGACCACTGGGCGCAGCCGACTCGGTGCTGCTCTGTCGCCCCCCGTCATCGCGCCCCGGGCTCGGAACGGGCAAGGGAGGCGTCTCGAAAAAGGCCGCCACGTCACCAGTGTCATCCGCCTCGAGGGGAACCACGTGCCGATGTTGAGGGCCCGGCGACCGCGAGCCTCTCTGACTGCGCGACCACTGACCAGGAATACGTTGTTGTGCCTGCTCGCGCTGACCATGAGAGCGACCCTTTTGCCGAACGCGGGGCCCAAAGAGGTAGCAGGGGACGTCCACCCACGGCTGGCCTCCGACATATTGTCACATAGTCCTGCTCACGGCGCGACTGGCTCCGCGCTGGCGAGTGGGAGGGATCCTGGACACGAGCCTGAACAAGGGAAAGCTGCTCGCGGACTAGCGATATGCATTCTGCCCTTTGGAGGACTATGCGTATTGAGCCAAAGCGGCTGCGAAGGAGGAGTAGGGAGGAGGAGGAGGAGGAGGAGGAGGAGGAGGAGGAGGAGGAGGAGGAGGAAGAGGAGGTGGAGGAGGAGAAGGGGAACGAGGAGGAGCGAGGATGAGGAGGGAGAGTGAGGAAGTGCACGAGAAGCACGCTGCTGCATCGCTGATGCATCGCCGATACATCGCCGATGCATCGTCGACGCATCGTATATGCAACGGCGACGCTCGCGATGCATCGGCGACGCCCGCGTGGAGAAGATCGGACTCCACATCGAGCGGCGCGGCATCACCGATGCATCGGCGATGCGGCGCCATCCCCTCCGACCCTATCCACACCGACCCCATCTGGGCGGTCCGGATGGAGGCGAGCCAAAAGGCCTCGCCACTGCTCCACGACGGCAACGGTGAGGGGGCGACGACGGCGATGCTGGCGACGGCGGCGGCGGCGGCAGCGAGGGCACCGACGACAGGCGATGACGACGAGGAGCGCCCCCCCCCCCCAAAAGGCCTTCCGAGAACACCCCGAGAAGCCTCAGCAGGCCGCGCGGGCAGCCGGGCTGCCGCGCGAGGTACGACAGCACCCCGATCTCGCTCAGCGAGTCCTCCGGTGGCCCCTCCCTCGCAGACGCCGCTCTGGAGCCTGCTCCAACTCCTCCTCCTCCACCTCGTCTTCCTCCTCCTCCTCCTCCTCCTCGTCCTCCTCCTCCTCCTCGTCCTCCTCCTCCTCCTCCTCGTCGTCAACCTCCTCCTCGTCACCCTCCTCGTCCTCATGGTCCCTCTCCTCCTCCTCTTCCTCCTCCTCCTCCTCCTCCTCATCGTCCTCCTCCCCCCCCCTCTTCGTCATTCTCCGGCTCATCATCCTCGTCCTCCTCCACCTCGTCGTCCTCCACTCCTCCCCCCCTCCTCTTCCTCCTCCTCCCCCTCCCCCTCCTCTTCCTCTTCCTCCTTCTCCTCGTCCTCGTCATGCTTCCCTTCCCCCTCCTCCATTCAGGTCCTCCTCCCCTTGACGAGGAGGAGAAACGAACTCCAGCTACTTTGGAAAGTCTGGCAATTCCCTAATCGCGTGCCTGGTGATCAAGCGTCATGGCATGGACCTGTGTCACCGTTCATATTGGATGGCGATCGTTTGGGGAATTTGGAGCCAGGAATTCTGCAGTCTGTGGATGGAAGTGGACGGCGACGAGCCAACATGCTTGGAATCGAAATGCAGCGCACTTGCGGCAATCGTAGATACCATCGCCATACCCCTTTTACATCATACCCCTTTACACCTTCACACGAAATTGGCATAACGCACCTCTACATAGAACCCCTTTAAGATATCTCAATTCGTCGTCATCCTCCTCCACCACTCAAATTTGCAAATTCTTCACGTTGGGCGCTGTCGCCCAATTTCAGGCTCTGGGAACATCAGACCGATCTGGGTCGAACTTTGCAGCCACCGGTTCCTGGGCTCCAGCCGTGATTGTGTGCGATGTTGCATTGTTTTGGCTCCCCTCTCCTCTAGCCATTCCTCCTGCCTCCCTCTCCTCCAGCCCTCCTCCACCTTCTCCTGCTCCTCGTCCTCCTCAGTCCTCGTCTTCCTCATCCTCCTCCTCCTTCCACCTTCTCTCGTCCTCATTCCATCTTCTCTCACCCTTATTCAGTCTCCCCCTCAATCCTCGTCCTCACTCCTCCTCCTCCTCCTCCTCCTCCTCCTCCTCCGCTCACCTCCTCCTCATCTTCCTCCTCCTCATCTTCATCCTCCTCCTCCCCAACGCCCCCTTCTCTGAATGATAGAGGACGGGGAAAGAGAGAAAAAGAGAGAGAGAGAGAGAGAACGAGACAGAGAGAGAGAGAATGATAAACAAACACAAACATACATATACGTAGCACCCCGCAGTTGCGGATAAGAGTGAGGGGCGGCGGGGGACGTCGGCAATCAGAGAGGCTCTGCAGAAGCCCGCCGCAGGCGCCTTACTTCTACACAACGAACTTGCGCGGATACTTTGGTCAAAGCAATGTGGGTGGGTCGCGGGCCTATTCGCGGGTGGTTCGCGGGTGGGTCGCGCGCGGGTCGCGGGGTGGGTCGCGGGTGGGCCGCCTGGGGCAATTTCATGGCAGGCCCAAAAGCGAACCGAGGTCTGTCTACCAGGCGGGCGAGCGGGGCTGCGGCGTGGAGGCCAGGGTGGGGCCCGCCGCAGGCCCCACGGCCGCGCGGAAGACGCAGGGGGGCTGCCGGTCAAGAGCATGAGAGGGAGAGAGGCAGAGAGGGAGAGACAGAGAGAAAGGGAGAGCCCAATTCCACGGAGAAGGCGAGAAGAAGATAAAGAGAGAGAGAGAGAGACAGAGAGAGAGAGATAGAGATAGAGACAGAGATATATAGAGAGAGAGAGAGATAGAGATAGAGACAGGCGAGGGTGCTGTGGGGAGGCTCGCGCTGGCTCTGAGGGTCTCTGGATGCATTCGTTTGCTCGGGGTCTTCACTGACCGGCTCCGAAGGTGTGCGGAGGTTCTGGAGGGTGGTCCTGAAGGAGCAGCACGAGGAGCAGAAAGAGGGGGAGGGGAGAGGGGGGGAGGGGGGAAGGGAAGGACGACTACGCCAACATGCCTGCACTGAGTAGGCGTGTGAGGATGCTCGACTGTTGCCTGGGAGGTCTTGTATACTTTCTTGTATACTTTGAAGGAACCCCCCTCGCCGCACTTGCCACAAACAGAACGCCCCTTCTGAAACCGCGTTATGGCGGTCTGTTCAGCCTCCAGACGACCAAGATGGCCTCCAAGACGGCTTCCAACACAACCAAGACGACAAGACAACTGCTCAAGGTGGCCCAAGACAACTCAAGAGCCCCTCAAGTGAGCCTGAAGACGGCTCAAGATAGCCCTAGACGGCCTCAAGACGGCCCAACAGGCCCCCGAGACGGCCCGAGAGAGCTCCATCAGGCCTTCCTGGGGAGCTCGATGGCGGGCCAAAACCAATCCTTCCCCCGTAGGTGTGTAAAAGGTTTTGAGGTTCTCGCCTGTTTGGGTTTCCGACCACCCAGACGGCCCAAAAGGCTTCCGAGATGCTTCAAAGACAGCTCAAAGGCAGCCCACCCCACGAGAGCACCTGAAGCCTCTGCCCCAAGACGGCATCGAAGCGCTCCAAAGGAACAACGAGGCTGTCCAAAGGGGCATTTGGGCTGTTTTGGGCGGCCGGAAACCCAAGCCAGAACCTCAGATGCCTTCAGGAAACTGAGTGACTTCATCGAGCTCTCCTGGAGGGCCTCGTGGGACAACCTTGGTGGCCTCTTAATCAGTCTTGGGGCCTCCTTGAGAGCCTCATGGCCTGTCGACGCCGCCGACGGTGACGGGGCGAGCTTACGATCCGTCCCGAACCAAAAGTAAGGAGGAGGGACGACGTCTATACGACACGGCGCCGTTTCCGCTCGGCGGCTCCTCCACAAACGCTTTGGGCCTGCCGGAGGGCAGCCTGAAATGCGAAGTTCGCTCGTCGGTCTCTGTGAGAGCGACCCTGCTGAGCTGCTCGAGAGGAATCTTCTTCACGGCGACCTGGATGTCACCCTCGGGCTTGCGCCACCTGTACTGCTGGACCGTCCCGTTGAAGCCTGCAACAGATACACAGATCCCCGCGCGCGCAGGAGGAGTGAGAGAAACGCAGGGGAAAAGGGGAAGAAAAGGGGAGATGAAGAGCGGGAGAGAAGTGGGGAATGGGAGGATGGATACGTGGATCCAGCAGTGGTTGCGAAAGGGATGGGGGATTAGAAGTGGATGCTAAAGTGGACCTTATCTGTCCTAACCAAATTTATGAGTGGGTTGCAAGAGCCCTACGTGGTTTAGGATGATGGGTAACCCCGCTAAATGGGCTCCGCCGACTTACCCCAGACCTGTGCGCCCTGAAGCCACTAGGGCACGTGCAATCCACTTTTGAGCCGTGTTGGGCTGGGTAGAACCCACATGAGCGTCCACTTGTATCTCCCCCATCCTCTCAGCAACCCCCGCGGCGATCCAAGCAGGAGGAGGCCTTCGCCGAGCGGTCGCACGCGGACGAAGTCGCCGTGCGGCAGCGCGTCGAACTCTGCCTTGGGCCTGAAATGGCTCAGGTCCGTCTTGCAGGGGTCCTGGACGAGACGCCTCCGGCCGGCAAGTCTCTCCCCCTGGATTGCCCCCCGACTCGAGCTGCCCCTTGGGGACTCCATGGGCAGTCCTTTGGGGCCGCGGGTAAAAGGAGGACATGAGAAGGAGGAGGAGGAGGAGGAGGAGGAGGCGGCAGAGGAGGAGGAGGAGGGAGGAGGAAAGGGCGCGGGGGAGAGAAGGATGAGGAGGAGGCATATGACGAGGGAGAGATGAAGATGGAGGGGGCACGGGGAGAATCACGCGGGGGACGAGACAGAACAGGAAGAGAGGCGGGCGGACGAGGGAGAGGGATGGGGAAGGGAGAGCGGCGCGGAGCGGGCGGAGCAAGAGGATCGGATTTTTCCCCAGGGGGTAAAAGGATCAGAATTGAGCTACAGGCTATAAGGGATGAGAAGGCTGAGAGGAGACGGGAGAAGCCTCTTCCTCCTCCTCCTCCTCCTCACTCTCATTCTCCTGTCCTTCCTGCACCTCCAGCTCACCCTCTCCATTTGCGTACTCCTGCTCCGGCTCCTCCTCGTCGTCGAACTCCTGCTCCTCCGCCACAGTCCATTCTACGTGCTCCGCCTCCTTCTCGGGATCGAAATACCTCTCGTCTTCCTCCTCCTCCTGCTCCTCCTCCTCCTCCTCCTCCTCCTCCTCCTCCCTCCTCCTCCTCCTCCTCCTCCTCCTCTTCTTCCTCCTCCTCCTCCTCGTCATCCCTCTCATCCTTCTCCTCCCTCTTCCTCCCTCTCCTCCCCTCCTCCTCCCCTCCTCCTCCTCCTCCTCCTCCTTCTCCTCCTCCTCCTCCTCCTCCTCCCCCTGCTCCTCCTCCTCCTCCTCCTCCTCCCGCCCTTCCTCCTCCCCTCCTCCCGCGGTCGAATCCTCTTCTCCCCCCTCTTCCAACTCGTAGCACGAAGACACGGGTCCTGAGGGAATCGGGTCCCGGGCCCTGGGGCCATCCCCGCGCGCAGCTTCTCCTCCCGAGCCGCTCTCTGCGAGGGCCCAGAGCCTGATGCGAGCCCCGGCAGCCGCAGAAGCGCACAAGAGTTTCCAGGACACGGCCCCACTACAGTCGGGCCGCTGACAGAAGGAACCTAAGGAACATCGAGCCCCTTCCGAACCCAAACTGTTCCTTATTTCAGCGTCTTGACTGCAGGTCCCCTCTTCCTCCCTCTTCTCCCTCTTCCTCCCTCTCCTCCCTTCCTCCTCCTCCTGTTCCTCCTCCTCCTCCTCCTGCTCCTCCTCCTGCTCCTCCTCCTGCTCCTCCGCCTCCTCCTCCAACCCGTCCTTCAAGGGCCCCTCTCCTCCACGGTCGCCCTCCTGCTCCTGCTCAGCCCCCCTCCCTGCTCCTGCCCTTGCTGCCTGCCCGCTGCCTCCATCCTCCACCTCGCCTGCCCGCCGCTGCCTCCTCCTAACCCTCCCAACTGCCATCCACCTCCTGTCCCTCTCCTCCTCCTCCTCCTCCTCCTCCTCCTCCTCCTCCGCCTCCTCCTCCTCCTCCTCCTCTTCCGTCCAGGAGGGGTCGGCAGAAGCAATGTGTGCCGAGGGCAAGTGGATGGGATCGGATCGGTGAGTGCGGCCAAGGCCCACCCGGCGCCTCAGCTGGATAAAATAGACGTCCACGGCGACACCAGAACGGAAAAAACGACCGAGCGGGTCGCGAAGGCGAGACCGACAGACCGCCTAGAAGGACGCAGCTGGGGGGGGGGCGCAAGCGTCCCCTCAGGGCGACGTACCCCCCGTGAGACGTCGCAGGGGGCACGGTTACAATAACGGTGCAGTCAAACTGATAGTAAGGATCCGCGATTAGGATGCAGGCCCCTTGGACGCGCATGTCGAAGCTTGTCGAATGGGGCTGGCTATCGAAAGGGGTTCAGGACGGACCGAGGATGCCAGGATGCAAGGGCACCCTTAGGAAGATTACCCATCCTTGGTATCGTTTTTTGACGGTAGGCGACAGAACTGGACAGTGGGAATCCCGAGGTGGGCCCAGTGGATCCCTTTCCAGGGCACGGCTGCTCTCAAATGTGTCTGGCCTCCCAGAAACAGCGGCGCAGCAGCAGCCCACAGCACCGCTCCGGACCGGACCGACCGAAGGCAACCCGCTTGAGCGACGAACAGAAACGGGTCTTGCGCGAGAAGGCATGGCGACCTGACGCGGTAGCTTATGCGGGCCGCCAGCGCTGCACGCCACATTGGAGACGGGGGCGCTTTCGCGCGACCTTATGCGGGCAGCTTACACGAAAATGTCGGCCCAGACGATCCCATTGTTTGGAGTCGCCCATTTGCATAGCAGCCACCTATACACCACCACCACCACCACCACCACCATGCATGGCTATTTGGGGGTCGAGAGATACCGATACCGCTACTCCTGGAGCCAATTCTGGGGTGCATTCTGACCAGGATGTCCGAGCGAATGCAGCCGTGGCGACAAGAGCGGGCAACAAAACAATATCGCTCTCCCCTCCTCCTCCTCCTCTGAACTAGTATACGGCCATCCAGTGTCCGGCATGGTGTATGTTAGGAGACAACTACTGGGAGGTCTTCGTCGGAAGGATTAAGGAGGATTAAGCCCCAATGGGGCGCTGTCACGCCAGATTGGGCCTCGCATTAAGCGGGATGCAACCGGATTGGGCGGGATTGAGCGGGATTACGCGGGATTGAGCCGGACTTCGGACCAGGGCGAAATCAATATTTTGACCTTCGTTGCATCCGAGTGTATGCACCCTCCCGGACAGGGCCGGGCATCCGACGGTGTGCCACTCTCAGTGCGCGCGGCGCCAGGAGGCCCCGAACCCTTTTATCGAGGGGCAGCAGGCTTCCCTCCCCGACACGCTCTCGCTGGCCCCGCGGCCCGCCCCGAGGCCTCCAGAATCCAACGTGCCGTCGCTCGGACGTCCGTTTCCCGTGCAGTTGTCGGTTTCGTGCGTGTTTTTTTTGCTCGATGGTCCAGGGTGGTCCTCGATGGTTCTCGCCGAGAAAAAAATGCACACGTCCGAGCGACGCCGAAGATTTGGACGCCCGAAGTGGGTACGGAAAGAATGGGTACAATGCCCAACAACAAATGGTGTCCCAAACCAACAACGGCTGCTGTTGGGCAGGCGGCATTCTGTCTCGAATGGACACAGGCCGCGGCGGCGTGGACAGCGAGTCCTGTTCAAAATGAACAAGATCCGCTGTTGGGCATTGTTCCCATTCTTTCCGTACCCATGTCGGTCGTGCAGAGAATAGAGAGAACACCTCGCCGGACATCCGGGATCGCCCCCCGGGGGCCCACGGAGACTCTGGCCAGGCAGGGCGGCGCACGCGCTCGGCGGCGCTGCGCGGGGGTGGTGCCCTTTAGGGGGGTCCTCGGAAGGCGCCGACCCCACATCTGCAGACAGGGCCCGCGCCTTCCAAGAGGCAGGGGGCGCTTCCGAGGAGCCCTCCCCCACCAGATGGGGTCGGAGGATCGCGCCGCATCGCCAATGCATCGGCGATGCGTCGTCGATGCACCGCCGACGTCGGCGACGCATCGGCGACGTTGGCGTTGAGAAAATTGGACTCCGCTTCGAGCTGCATCGCCGATGCATCGGCGATGCGGCGCGATCCTCCGACCCCACTTACTCTGAGCCCGTCTAGGAGGCCCAGATGTAGGTCCCGAACAAGACTCGAGCTAAACAATGATTTCCATTCTGCCGCGAAGCGAACGCAGAACGAAGACAGGCGACGAAGTCGCCCCAAAATACCGTTTGGCTCGAGCCCTGAAACGCCTGCTAGATGGGGTCCGAGTGGATGGGGTGGGAGGATCTCGCCGCATCGCCGCCACATCGGCGATGCATCGCCGATGCGTCGGCGATGCACTGGCGATGTCGGCGATGCATCAGCGACGTCGGCGTGGAGACAATGGGACCCCACATCGAGCCGCATCACTGATGCATCGCCCATGTATCGGCGATGCGGCGCGACCCTCGGACCCCATCTGCTCGGGCCCCATCTAAGATTAGGTCGGGCATGCCCCCCTGCAGGCGGCTCTTGGAAAGAGGACACCATGTGTCAAGCAATACCCAAACATCAACACGCATACCAGCAAATCGTCCGCAGACTTATGTTGTTCCCATCCTACTTAAAGACCGCATCCCAGAACTAATTTCGAGCACCCGGAAAAGTGTCAAAAGAGTGTCGAAACAATGTCGGGCGAGTGTGCCCCTCCCAGGGTCCGACACGTGAACACCCTTGAGTTGCGGTACTTTTTTGGGGCGCTCGCAATTATTTCTGGCAGTCAAGGCTAAAGTAGGTTGGAGCATCATAACCGCAGTCCATAGCTTCACGATGCTGGAACATCCCGGAGGAGTCGCCGCAAAACACCACGGTCAAAAACCCTGATAAGGACGCGCGGTAAGGACGCGAGACCCTTTGAAGCCGAAGCTGGGATGTTTGGGGCGGCGGACGACGAAACCCCCAAGGACGCAAGAGCAAGGAAGAGCAAGGACGCCAAGGGTACCCCGAGCAAGATCGCGAGTCCTTCTTAGGGTTTTTGACTGCCCTTCGCTCGAGCCCCGAGGGCCCCCCCGGGGCCTCCGAGCCTCGGCGGGGGGCCCCGAGGCCGGGGGGGAGACACCCCCCCGTGGGCGAGAGAAAGAACTCTCCCGCGCGGCGGGCCCCCGGAGGACGAGGCGCCCGGCCTCCTGGGCCGTGGCGGCCTCTCCTGCCTACAGGGAGCCCACAAAGGACGTACGCGCCCAGCTATGTACATGAACACGGCCCCTCGATCCGCGAGACCGGCCGCGTTATACGAACATTTGCGCAATGGGTGCTCTCGAAACCAGCGTGGATTCATGTACATGTACGTCCTTATTTCGCTCCTGAACCTACGTGGCGGCGAGCGAGCTGAGCGAGGGGGGAAATAAGAAGGATAATGCCTTCTCAAAGGCGGCGGCACTTCTCAGGAGCCTTCGCGCCCTTTGCGAAGTGTTTCCTGTGCCTTCGGGGAAGGCTTAGGTCGGGCCTGTCCCTCTACAAAGGGGTTTTGGGTGAAACATTTGAATTACTCCAGAAATGCCCCAAAAAGGTCAAAAATGGTCAACAACAAATCGTCTCCGGACTATCTTTCAACTAATCGCCCCCGGACTATCTTTTAACTAATGTTTGAACATTCCTCCTGTAGAGGGACAAGCCCGACTTAAAGGAAGGGGCTCAGAAAGCCTCGCAGAAGGCCGGAACGTCCGAGCCCTCTGAGAAGGCCCGCCTCCTCTCACTTAAACCCCCGGGGCTCGCAGCCGACCAGCTGCTGCTGAAGCCCCCCCCTGTCCGCCAGGGCCTCCCTCCCGAGACATGCCCCATCGTCTGGCCATCGCTCGGACGTCCATTCCCTATGTTTCTTTCGGTCTCGTGCGTTTTTTTTGTTGTTCTTTCTTTATTTCTTTCTTTTTTTTGTTTCTGTTTGTTTCTCTCTCTCTCTCTCTCTTCCCCGGATGATCCAGGATGCTCCTCGATGATCCCCGCCGGGAGGCCGAGAGTGCACACGTCCGAGCGATACCAAGGGTTGCTAAGAGGATGAAGAGGGGTACGAGTGGATGCCAAGGTGGGTGCTATCCAGCCTGACCCAGCTTACAGAAGTGGGTTGCACGTGCCGCAGGTGGCTTCAGGGCGCACAGATCTGCACCGAGCGTGCGGAGCCCGCTTTGCGGAGTTATCTCGTCATCCTAAGCCACTTAGGGTACTTGTGACCCACGTATAACTTGGGTCAGGCCAGACAAAGCCCACTTCAGCATCCACTTCTACCCCCCCCATCCCCTTAGCAACCACCGCGCCGATTCAAGCAGGGGCGCCGAGCTTCGCGCTCCGCGCGCCGCGCTGCGCGAGAGCGCGCGAATGCCTTCGCGCTCTCGCGCCGAACCCCCAGGGGAGGCGAGGAGAGCGAGGAGGGATCGGAGCCGAGCCGCGAAGCGCGAATGGCCGCGCGCCCTCGGGGGCGCCCTTGCTGCTCCCCCCAGGCCCACCTTTGCATCCCGAGTCGTTCCCCGCGGTTATTGGGCATCGTTTGGCCGACGCCCATCCCCAACGCCGCGGCCTGGGCCGTCCTTGCCGATGTAATCCCCCACAGATGGGGGTCTAGGCTGTTTCCTTCGGGTTTCGGAGAGTGTATACGAGGACGAGGAGGAGGAGGAGGAGGAGGAGGAGGAGGAGGAGGAGGAGGAGGAGAAGGCGGAGGCGGAGGAGGAGGAGGAGGAGGAGGAGGAGAAGGAGGAAGAGGAGGAGGCGGAGGAGGAGGGAGAGGAGGAGGAGGATGGCGATGGGGATAAGGGTCGGTTAAGCGATGCCGATCCTCCTGGTCCTGGGGCCCTGGACGGGCCCTTCAACCAGAAGACGACGAGCAACCTCAAGATCTGTGTTTGCTCCCTGGCGGCTCTCCAGCTGGCACTCGGGAAATTGGTCCCGAAGGGAACGGGTCCTGAGCTCTGGGGCCTTCCCCGGGAAGAGATCTCCATCCCGAGTCGCATTCTGACGGTCCCGGGGCCCGTGGAAGGCCCCGATGACCTGAACACGGCGAAGAATCCTCAGGACACGCTTCTCTCAGCCCGGTAAGCGTCCCCCGAAGCCGAAACAAACCATAAACCTCCCGCCGTGATTTTCCCCAACCATATTGTGGTGTTCGGTCCTCGTTTTGAAGAGACAGCGCCCCGCGTTCCTTCCTCCTCCCGCTGCCCCGTTTTCGTTCTTCCCATCAGCAACATCATCGTCACTATCATCAGCGTCGCCCATCATCCATCAACATTAAAATGTGCATCCTCACCCTCATCCAAAACATCACCCCCATTTTCATCAAGATCATCAGCATCATCATCATCATCATCATCATCATCATCATCCTCATCATCACCATCACCATTAACAACATCATCATCATCAACATCATCCTCATCATCACCATCATTATCGCCCCCACCACCCATGTCGGCACACCCCTCACACGTTTCGTGGCCCTATAAGGAGTTCCAGGTAAGGTTCCAGTGGCGCAGCTCGCATGGCGGCGCCGATCCATTTTGGTACATGCCTCACATGATTCGCAACCCCAAAGGGAACTCCACCGAAGGCCCCAGTGGCGCAGCGCGCATGGTGGCGCCGCCCATTTTGGCACACACCCCGCACGCTTCGTGGCCCCATCGGGAGCTCCTCCTAGGGTCCCAGTGGCGCAGCTCGCATGGCGGCGCCGCCCCATTTTGGCACACCCTTCACACGCTTCGTGGCCCCATAAAGAGCTCCAGGCAAGGTCCCAATGGCGCACTTCGCATGGCGGCGCCGCCCCACTTGTGGCACACCCATCACACGCTTCGTGGCCCCATCGGGGGTTCCAACTAAAGCCCCAGTGGCGCAGCTCGCATGGCGGCGCCGCCCCGTGTTTCACACACCCCACACATTTTTTCGTGGCACCGTATGGAGCTCCAGCGTGGCGCAGTTCGCATGGCGGCGCCGCCCAATTTTTGGCACACCCCACACACACACGTTTTTCGTGGCACCGTAGGGAGCTCCAACTAAGGCTCCAGTGGCGCAGTGCGCATGGTGGCGCCGCCCATTTTGGCACACACCCCGCACGCTTCGTGGCCCCATCGGGAGCTCCTCCTAGGGTCCCAGTGGCGCAGCTCACATGGCGGCGCCGCCCCATTTTGGCACACCCTTCACACGCTTCGTGGCCCCATAAAGAGCTCCAGGCAAGGTCCCAATGGCGCAGTTCGCATGGCGGCGCCGCCCCATTTTGGCACGCCCCTCGAACATGTGGCGCTAAGTCCCAGTGGCGCAGCTCGCATGGCGGCGCCGCCCCAATTTGGCACGCTCCTCACACACGTTTCGTAGCCCCCCAAAAAGCTCAAACTGAGGTCCCAGTGGCCCGCCTTCTTTGGGCACACTTTGCTTTCACACGTTTCGTGGCCATATAGGGAGCTTCACCGAAGGTCCCAGTGGCGCAGCTCGCATGGCGGCGCCGCCCCATTCTTGGCAGACCCCTCACACGGTTCGTGGCCCCATCGGGAACTCCAACTCAAGTCCCGGGGTCGCAGTCCGCATGGCGGCGTCACCCAAACGGGTTTCCCGCTCTCGCACGGCGGGGCCATCACCGCGGTGGCGTGCCAGGGGCGCGCCGTGCGCGAAGGCGGCGCGCCGATGGAACGGCGCCCCCGGGCAATGTACGGCCCCAAAAAACTTCTGGGCACGAGCGGTCCGCAGCCAGACATTCTCTCGGTCCCGTGGACTCTCGCCCTGGGCCGTCGGCTCCCTCGGCCGACATCGCCCAGCCGTGATCCTGGACTGCGGCCGCCTCGAGGTCTGGAGCGGCAAAAAAGACGACGACTGGTGGCTGTATCCCTACGTGCTGCTCTCGCGCGCAACGCGCCACGAAAACCTCCTCACATGCGGGCGCCGCGCATCGAATTCTTCTTGGCGGGGCCGCCGGAGGGCTCGCGGAAACAGCTGGAGCAGCTTGCTGCGCGCACGAAGCGGAGCAGAAGGGAGGCAACGGCCCTCGCCAGGGAGCTGGGCTTCACCGAGTTTATCCGCGATGCTTGACCTGAGAAGCGACCCGCCCGAACTTCGCCGTCTCTCTCGACGGTCTGACTGTTTGGCCTCGCGCCGACCGCGCGCGTCGCTGGGACCCTCTCGGGGCGACCAGCGCGCGTCGCGGGAACTCCATGCTGCGCTCTGCACGGCGCCTCGCTCGCCCCCGTCGTCGCTCTGCCCAGCGGCCAGAGACTTGCCCGCTACCAGCAGGCCTGCTAGCTCTCTCTCTCTCTCTCTCTTTTTTCTCTCTCTCTCTCTCTCTCTCTCTTTCTCTGCTCCGCGCAGCGGACGACCCGCGCAAGTCGCCGGGACCCCTTCGGGGAGACCAGCGCGCGTCGCGCGGACTCCGTGCGGCGCCGCGCCCGGAGCCTTGGACATGGGTGCGCACGGGCAAAGAGGGAGAAAAACAACGGGGAAGAAGCGGGCGCGATCCACGTGAGGGGCGTGCCGGCATGGGCGTCGACATTTTTGCCAGTAGACTCACGCGCGCGAAGACTCATTCACAATCGGACCCACTCGCGCTCACACTTACACGCTCTCAGTCTCTCGCACACAGACCTATCGTGTTCGTTCGCGTTGTTTGCCCCGTCATGCATGTCGGCACGCCCCTCACACGGTCCGTGGCCCCATAGGGAGCGCGGGCGAAGATGATATTCATACTTGCGGTATTCACAACAGCAAATAGCTGGTTTCTTCGCAAGGATAATTTTCACAACGCGAGGGGGTCCTGGGAACGGCGACCCTAGAGGCTTCCTACATGCGGTCGTAGTAGATGGGGTCAAAGGGTCGCGGCATCGCCGATGCATCGGGGATGCACCAGCGAAGCACCGTCGGCGTCAGCGATGCATAGGCGACGCCGACGTCAAGCAAATCGGGCCCAACATCGAGCCGTATCGACGATGCATCGGCGGTGCGGCGCGATCCTCCGACCCCATCTTCTCGGGCCCCATCAACTTGGATCGCTGCGGTGGTAGAAGTGGATACTACACTTGGCTTTTTTCTGGCCTAGCCCAACTTAAAGTGCCCGACCTGGCTTAGGATGGTGAGGTACCTCCGCTGAGTGGGCTCCGCCCACTTAGCCCAGATCTGCGCGCCGTGAAGCCACTCAGGGCACCTGCAACCCACTTCTGAGCTGCGATCGGCTGGCTCGAACCTACCTTGGCATCCACGCGTATCCCCCTCTCCTCTTAGCAACCCCCGCGGCGATCCAATAGTCAGCGAGCGAAGAACGGTATAAAATAAACTTTTTCGCTGTCGGGGGCGCCTGTCCCTGGGCGGCTGGAAAGTTTGTACCCCTACGGTGCCACCGTAAGGGTATAAACTTTCCAGCCGCCCTGGGACAGGCGCCCCCGACAGCGAAAAACATTATTCTATACCGTTCTTCGCCCGTTGAAATAGGAGGCCTAAAGGCCCTGGGGGGCCACCTCCCACCAGAGGCCGGCCGGCCAAGCGCGCCTGGGCGGGCGGGCGGCGCCGGCGTCCCGCGCGTCGGCCAGCGGCGGGGATCGCGGCTCGTCGGGGGGCGTGCCGGGGGACTCCGCGGGCTGCCCCCGCGCGCTGGCCAGCGACGACCCCGACGTGCTCCTCGAGGTGGGGGCGGGGGCAGCCGTTTGGAGGCAACTACTGGGAGGTCTTCGTCGAGAGGATTGAGATTCTGGATCCCATGACAGTGGACACTCTAACAAGTCGATCATTGGATCAAACATGTGCTTAAAATGTGTAAAACATGTTCCAGAACTGTTTCAGCATGATTTCTTTCAAACCAATTTAAAACAGGTTTAACACATGTATTAGACGTCTGAAAATTATTTGGCAGCATGCTTTCTCTCAATTATCGGCTTCCAGAATATTAAGCAGGAAGAAGAAAGATTAAGCCCCATCGGCGGGCTGCAACACCGGATTCGGGATTGCGCCGCATTAAGCGGGATTAAGCCGGATCAAGCAGGGCTAAGCCAGATCAGTCTAGATGTCGGACCAGGGCAAAGTCAGGATTTGACCTCCCAGGAGTTACATCCGAACAGCAGTACAGTCAAAGCTGATCGTACGGTCGGACTCAGGTCAGAAAAAACATCCTTCGAGAACATGAGATCCCCCGCCGGCCAAAATGTACAGAGCATCCAAGCTTGCCCTGCGCAGGATATGCACGAGAGCATCCAACAAACACGAAAAACATGAGGGTCAACTTCCAGTACCGACCTTCATCTTCTACCTCGGTCCGACTGTAAGGATGCTAGGCAGCGCGCCGGGGGGGGAGTGAGAGGGAGAAGGCTTTCTCAGAAGGCAATGGGGCTTCTCAGAAACCCTCGCGCCTGCTGAGAAGTGTTCTGCGTCTTCGGGGAAGGCTTAGAAAACGTGTCGGCGGACGGCTGCCGAGTCTTCTGACAAAGCCCGCTCCTTCTCACTTTCCCCCGGGCTCGCCGCCGAAGTAAGGATGCGCGATAAGGCGATGGTTAGTGTTTCCGTCCCGTTTTGGGAGCAGGAGGAAAGCAGAGAGCACGATGCGGACAGAACCAAAGACTACCAAGGATGCGCGATAAGGATGCAATCTCCTTGGACGTCTGTGCTGCAGCTTTTTCGAGCGCGGCGGGTCACCGAAAGCAGTCAAGGTGGACCGAGGAGGCAAGGATGCAAGGGTACCCTTGGGAAGGTTGCCCATCCTGACCATTGGTATCGACTGTGCCCACATCTCCGACGCCGAGGGGCAACGCAAGGGAAGGGGACCAGCTCACGAAGGGCCGGGGGGGAGAAAACATCGACCTGGACCCGGCGACACGTCACCGAGAGATCGGCGCTGTGCCACCGATGGCGAACCCGCCCGCTGCTGCACGGCGCGGGGCCAGCAGGCCCCGTGTGGGCGAGCCATGGGCCACTCGGCCTCGATGCCCCCCCCCCGAGCCTTCTCCCCCCTCAAATGCTGCCCCTGGGACGCACTCAACGAGATCAAGACGGATCGTTGTCCGCATTTGCGGCCTCCAGGGGCCCACTCCAAGGGCCCTTGCCGGGCCCCATCGCGCTCGCCAGCGACGACCCCCTGGGAGCCTACAGGACGGGGACGGGACGAGGAGAAATCCGTTCCAGAGCGTCCCGGAACGCTCTCAGAGTGTTCCGGAACACTCTGAGAGGACCGGGGCTCGATACATCCTCCAGAGCCGCTGGATCTCAGAGATTCTCGACTTGTCCTCACCCGATGCCATCCTCGCCCCGGCTTCGACTGAGCCTCCGCGGCCCTTGGCGCTGTCCCGTTTGGCCCTGAGGTGGAGTTGGGACATATGTGGGACCAACCTTGGACTGAACTCGCCCCGTCAGAGGGAAGATGAGCGGAACGAGGAGGGGGAGGAGCAACCTGAGGAGGCGAGGAAGGGGGGCGAGGAAGGGAGCGAGAAGAGGAGAAGAGGAGAGAGAGGGGGGAAAACTAGGGGAGGCGAGGAAGGCGGCGAGGAAGAAGGCGAGGAAAAGGGCGAGGAGAAGGGGGGGAGGGATACGGGAAGAACGAGGAGGCGAGGAGGAGCACGAGGGGGGGCCAAATGCGGTCCAAATGCTGTCCAGATGCAGGAAGAGCCGATTTCGATGTCGCTGCCCGAGGCCCCCATGAACAGACATGGAACTTCTTCGGTGGCAACTCAGGGGAACCTCCCATACCATCTTGTCGGTCTTGCGAATCGACACTAATCGACGCTGATCGACGCTAGTCGACGCTAATCGACGCTGGTCGATGCAAAATCTACGCTAAATCGACGCTAATCGACGCTAAATCGTCGCTAGTCGACGCTAAATCGACGCTAAACCCACGCTAGTCGACGCTAACTCGTCACATATCATCAACTCCCAAACGCGCATCGACGCTACATCGTCACATATCATCAACTCCCAAACGCTGATCGACGCTAAAAAGTCGGAATGACGACGGCATACCAGGCTCCCATGATGCTACCGAGAACTTCGGGTGGACAGGAAGGCCCACCCCCCCGCGTCGTCACCAGCACCGCGTCAAAGCTCTCGGGCGTTACTCGTCGCTTCGCGCAACCTCGGGGCGCTCTCGAGCAGCTGCGCCTCGCTCTAGCTGGCAGCGCTCTCCCGGGGGGTCGGGATCCTCCCCCTACAGGCGGGTTATTGCGCACAGGACGCGCGACAGGACACAAGACTCTTCTGACGGCAACATGGCCTCCAAAACCACAGGACGCAAGGGTACCCTGCCCTTCGGCCGCAGAGGACACGACGCGCGATGCACAGGACACAAGAGCACCCTTGATTTCGCAGGGCCGACCTACTAATGTAACCCGACTGTATGGCCGCTGGAGGGCCCGAAACAAGCCTGGGGGGGGGAACCGCCAGCTGCTTGAGCTGGGGCCGACGGTCCCGGGACGAAGCAGTGCTGCCACGAAATGGTATGATTACCAGCCTGGAACATATCCCTATCCCTATGCTGGGCACCTCCTCATCACGATGCCAATATTAAGGATTCCCTTATGTTTTGAGGGCGAATCCCTAAGGTTCTCATCGCCTTTTGGCGTTTCAATCTTAGGGATAGGGATACGTTCGAGGCTGGTAATATGAGACCAAATTGCTGAAGCAATACCGTCCCAGCAAGAAACAGTATAAGAACACGTCGCGAAAACCGACACATGCAACGAAGCGACGAAACGAAGCAGATCATGTGCCCTGTGGCAAAGCCAACTTACGCCGCGGATAATGTGGGCCGCCAGCGCAATACGCTACATTGGAAACGAGGGCGCTTACGAGCGACCTTGCGCGGACAGCTCACGTGCGGATGTCGGTGACCATGACCATGCTTTCCAGTGTCTCTCGGCTGTCTTTCGAGCATAAAGCGACCATCCCTGAATTCCTATAGAAGCCCTACCACTAAATGCTCTGGGAACACGAATGCTATGATAACAACAATAAATCTCCGAGCATGAAACCGGTCTAGTCCAGCAAGCCCGTCTCAGCCAGAGGTGCTCTAAGAGCATTTCGTGTAAGCCACAAGAGGTCGTCAGAACATTATTGGCTGGGCCTCTAGGTTAGTAGGCAACTACTGGGAGGTTTTCGTCGGAAAGATTAAAGAGGATTAAGCCCCATTTGGGAGCTGTTGCGCCGGAGTGGGCCTCGGATTAAGCGGGACTAAGCGGGATTAGGCCGGATTAGCGGGGATTCAGCCGGATTTCGGACCAGGGCAAAATCAGAATTCGACCTCCCAGGAGTTGCATCCGAATCTGGGCAAAACGAGGCGCTTCGCCCATGCTTGTGCTGCACACCTTCACCCCGCGATCCTGGCGTCGCATCCCGTTTCGCCCCGTTTCGGGCCCCGGGGCCATCACAGATCGGTCCATGCCCTGAAGATGCTGCAGAAAGGTGCTTCCAGTCGGACCTGGGACACAATCACATCCTCTAAAAACATGAGACCCTCCGTCGGCCAAACCAAACAGAACACCCGAGGGCTCCCTCCCAAGGATGACCAAGAACCCCAACAGGCGCGCAGAACCTTGAGGGTACCCTTCCCGAGACGACCTCGATCTTATACCTCGGTCCGACTGTAGGGTCTGGGGCTCCGCTTGGGTTGACCCAAAAAGGGGTCCAGCGACAAGGGGGTGGTGCAATAGATTTGGTGCAATAGTTTTGTGGGGTTGCAATACATCTGGGGCGTGCAATACATTCTGGGGCGCAAATGTATTGCTGGAGTTTCGCGTGCAGTGCAGTCGTTGCAGTACAGTGCAATACAATCCTCCGGCGCAATACATCTGCGATACACTTGCCCCAACTTCTCTTGCACCACCCCCTTGCAGCTGGACCCCCTTCTGCGTCACCCGAATCCGCTCCTGGCCATCGCTCGGACGTCCATTCCCTGTGCTTCTTTCGGTTTCGTGCGTGTTTTTTCGCCAAACGATGAAGTCGGGCCTGTCCCCCCACAGGGGGATTTTCGACGAAACATACAAAATGATCCAAACATAATCGAAACAAAAATCAAAAAAAAATCGGTCTTGACTATCTTTGACGTTTTTTTACCGTTTTGGTGTGTTCTTGGGGTATTTCTAAATTTTCGTAGAAAATCCCCTTGCAGGGGGACACGCCCGACATAACCAAACGATCCAGGATGCTCCTCGATGCCGGCTGCTCCCCGGCGCGCCGCTCCTGGCCGGTCCTGGCCGCTCCCGGCACCCTCGGTGGCCACCCGCGCCCTGCCCGCCCTGGCTCGGAGGGGGCGCCCCGCGCGGTTGTTTCGTGCCGCGCCGCCCTCGGCGCTGGCTCCCGGCCCTGCGCGTGCCATCGCTCGGACGTCCAGTCCCAACGCGCTTGTCGATGCCGTGCGTCTGGCTTTCGCTCGGGGATCCAGGGTGCTCCTCGGGGGTCCTCGCCGAGGAGGCGCGTCAAAGCAGGAGAAGTCTCAGCCATGAGCGTTCCTAGAGCAGCTCGCGCAGACCACAATGGGTTCTTAGAACATTCTTTGGTGGGCCTAGAATCGGGAGCGGCAAAGAGGGGGGTGTCGAAGAGGGGGGGGTGCAAATCATGACCGGCGGCATGTGCGCGGCCCGGCGGGGGGGCCAGGGACGTAATGAAATAAGAAGAGGCGCCATGAGATCTGGGGAAATATCATGGCCCACGCCATGATATCCACCCCCCCCTAGTCATCACCCCCCTCTTTTCCGCCCCCGATAGAAGCAAGCTTGGACGCTTCGCCTCTTCTCGAAACGTCCAACGCCCGCGCTGGGGTCACCGCCTGTTGGCCTGGAGGGCGTACGCGCGCCGATGTCGGCGCCAGGACCTGCACAGCTGGCGTCCCCCGCTCCTCCTCGACGAGGGCGCGCCCGTCGACGCCAGCGCCAGCGAAGACCTGGACGAAGACCTCTCCGGGGGAGCCAAGAGTAGAGCAGGAGATCGGCTACATAATGCATTACACCCCCAAAGAAATGGTTCCCAACCCTCCTTCTTTCGGTATTTGTTTTTTTGAATAGAGCACTGCTCGCGCGTCCGCAGATCTGGGCGGTAGCTCGCCGTCCCTGGGGGGATGCGATCTGCGAAACTGTCGCCACTCTCGAGGGCTGCTGGTGGGTCCAGAGGAGTGAGGCACCGCGTAAGTCTGAGCGGGACCTCGCCGTCCCTGGAGGGCTGCGATCTGCGAAACCGTCGCCACTTTCGAGGGCTGCGTGTGGGTCCAGCGGAGTGAAGCACCGCGCAGATCTGAGCGGTAGCTCGCCGTCCCTGGGGGGCTGCGATCTGCGAAACCGTCGCCACTTTCGAGGGCTGCTGGTGGGTCCAGCGGAGTGAGGCAACGCGCAGATCTGAGCGGGACCTCGCCGCCCCTGGGGGGCTGCGACCTGCGAATTTGTTGCCACTTTCGAAAGCTGCTGGTGGACCCAGCGGAATGAGGCACCGCGCAGATCCTAGCGGGACCTCGCCGTCCCTGAGGGGCTGCGATCTGCGAAACAGTCGCCACTTTCGAGCGCTGCTGGTGGGTCCAGCGGAGTGAGGCACCGCGCAGATCTGAGCGGGACCTCGCCGTCCCCGGGGGGCTGCGATCTGCGAAACTGTCGCCACTCTCGAGGGCTGCTGGTGGGCCCAGCGGGGTGAGGCGCCGCGGAGATCTGAGCGGGACCTCGCCGTCCCTGGGGGGCTGCGATCTGCGAAACCGTCGCTACTTTCGAGGGCTGCGTGTGGGTCCAGCGGAGTGAGGCACCGCGCAAGTCTGAGCGGTAGCTCGCCGTCCCTGGGGGGCTGCGATCTGCGAAACTGTCGCCACTTTCGAAGGCTGCTGGTGGGTCCAGCAGGGTGAGGCGCCGCGGAGATCTGAGCGGGACCTCGCCGTCCCTGGGGGGCTGCGATCTGCGAAACTGTCGCCACTTTCGAGGGCTGCGTGTGGGTCCAGCGGAGTGAGGCAACGCGCAGATCTGAGCGGGACCTCGCCGTCCCTGGGGGGTTGCGATAGGCGAAACCGCCGCCACTTTCGAGGGCTGCTGGTGGGTCCAGCGGAGTGAAGCACCGCGCAGATCTGAACGGTAGCTCGCCGTCCCTGGGGG